GGTGCTCTGGACAAGTGAGGGGCACTGACATCATGAATTCTCTTCAGGCTGTCAATCAGCTAGTTCACCCTGACAGACAGAGGAGCTGAAGCAGTGAATAGATTAGCAGGCTTCACATCCACTCCCTGCACTGACTGTAACCAAAGTGCTCCACCAAGCCCATCACTCTGTGTCACTCTGGACCCTTGCCCCAGCCACAAGCTGAAGCCAGCGCTCCCTCCAAGAATGCATCTCTGGAACCCCCATAAGCCTTAGGCACTCCACTGAATGCCAGAGGCACATTTTCAGGAATAATGCCTTCAATCAAAAGAAAAAAGAAAATCATCCTCTGGAGGAGATAGTAATGAAATTGCCCAGATGTGCAAATACCGATGTAGAGACACAAGAAGCATGAACAAGGAAGGCAATATGACTCCCCATAGGAACGTGATAATACACTACTATTGGGCTGTGAAGAAGCGGAGATTGATGAACTGCCTGATAGAGTGATTGTAACGTTTCTCAAAAACACAGGGTTAAATGAATTTATTTTCAAAAACACAAAGCTTTTAACACACTGAAGTCTTTAAAGTTAATTCTCTTTCATTTAAAAAATTATTTGAGAGAGACAGAGAGAGAGAATGAGTGCTCCCATCCACTGTTTCTCTCTCCAGATGTCTGCAATCACCAAGGTGAAGTCAGGAGCCAGGAACTAAATCCAGGTCTCTCACGTGAGTGGCAGGAACCTAGTGTTGTGAGCCTCTCCAGCCACCTCCCTGGGTACACATTAGTAGAAAGCTAGAATTAAGACCTGGAGATGGGTATAGAACCCAGAAGGTGTCCTAACTGGTGTTTCAATTAACTGCTAGGCCAAATGCCTCCTTCAAGCTTGTCTTCTTAAAGGCCAGAGAACTTTGGCATCCATGGAAGTCATCAGTGTTTCCTGTTACACTGCAGCTGCTACATCTTGCTAGGCTATTTCTGGTCCTATTATTTCAAAATTAGGTTAGTGACTGGACCTGCTGCCCCGTCAGACAAGTTCATAGTCCTCCTCTCTGCGGACAGTGGGATGACCAGTTGGCCAACACTGAGGTCTCTATGACTACTGGCCATCCAGCTATGAAATAAGAAGATGGCTTATTTCCATACCAGAGTCCTGGCCGTCTATGCTGTCTATGTTGTCTTTCACTTTTTCTGTTATAATTATTCATCAACAAATATTGACTATGTTGATGGCATTGTAGACCAAGCAATCGTAAATAGTTTATTGTTGAGATAAATATTGAAGTACAGTATTTAAAATAATGTATGACTGCTTACAGATTGCTCAGTGGGCATAGACCATGCCCAGTGCAATATATTATAAAAGTAAATAGTCTTTTGGCCGGCGCCGCGGCTCACTAGGCTAATCCTCCGCCTAGCGGCGCCGGCACACCGGGTTCTAGTCCCGGTCGGGGCGCCGGATTCTGTCCCGGTTGCCCCTCTTCCAGGCCAGCTCTCTGCTGTGGCCAGGGAGTGCAGTGGAGGATGGCCCAGGTGCTTGGGCCCTGCACCCCATGGGAGACCAGGAAAAGCACCTGGCTCCTGGCTCCTGCCATCGGATCAGCGCGGTGCGCCGGCCGCAGCGCGCCGGCCGCGGCGGCCATTGGAGGGTGAACCAACGGCAAAGGAAGACCTTTCTCTCTGTCTCTCTCTCTCACTGTCCACTCTGCCTGTCAAAAAAAAAAAAAAAAAAAAAAAAAAAAAGTAAATAGTCTTTTTAAATTAGTGTTTTCTTTGTATTCCTTTTTTGTAGGCTCTGTGTGTTATGAAATAAGTACACACACATGCAATGTTTGACACAGATAATATTTACACATATTTATTCAGTTAAAATACCATACTTGTAAGAAGTATCATTGTAAGAAAAATGTCAAAGTGATTATAAATAAACACCACTGCTTTACAAAAATTGAAGAAAAACCAAGCAAGTCTCTACTTGACAGTAGCTGAATATCAGCAAATTCTAAACTAATTGCTGCAATTTGCATGTCTGCATAAGGACTAAAAACCACAAAATGAATTAAAATTTAGATATATTTTTAACATCTGTTGTATTTTGCTTACTTGTTCTGTGTATTTTGTTAGTATAAATTGAATATCCCTAATCCAAAAACCTGAAATTTGAAACACTCCATTATCTGATAATATGGCAACACAGATGAAAAATTTCATATTTGATGTCATGTGACAATTCCCAGTTAAAATTCAGGCATGCCAAAAATATTGTATAAAATTATGTGTATGTGAAAGAGAAATAAATTTCATGTTTAGGCTGGAGTCCCATCCCATAAATATTTCATATTTATGTGCGAATATTCCAAAATACAAAAAGAATTGGCAATCAGAAACACTTTTAGCCTCATGTTTTTCAGACTAAGGAATATTCAACCTGCATTGTGTACTCCGGTCACACAAAAACAACTTAATTCGCTACACATTAAACAAAATAAAAGTTCAAAATGTCAACAAAATCAGTATCATTTTAGATATGTTTATTATTCATTTTTACAGACCCAATTTAAGTTGAAACCCAAGCAAGAATGATCAGTCCAGTAAGATGTTTTCACATGTGATAGATTCAATGATGTAATACAAAGCCCATAATGTCTCCTGGGCTAGAAGTTCTTGTCAATTAAAATATGAGTTCAACAAATTGACAAAGTCTGTCACATCTGTTCATGTTAAAAATACTTCTGAACAAAATATTTTGAGTAGAGAGGATGTAGGGGAAGCAAATCTCAACTCAAAAGAACTGAGACCTTCCTAAATGTTGAATTCAGTGCTCATAAAATCTTTTATTCACATCCTATGAAGTAGCCAAACACAGAAAGCTCAATCCCACTGGAGTAGTAATAGCATATGCTGCAAATAGTTGAGCTGTTTTGTGAGCTAGAAGGAGGAAAAACTGAAAGTGTTTTTTTTGACTAAGGACAAGCATTGGAATAATTAACATTGTGTGTAACATTTGGAAGGAAGTCATCAAGCACTTGACAGTCTCTCCATCCTTTTGCAGGATGCAATTGGTTGAAACCACAGACATTTTTATATAATCACTTTCTTTTTCATATTCACCATTTACATGCTAATGCATCAAATAAAAATTCTTATTTTGTGAGCTCTTTTTCAAAAGGACAAAAATTGTTAATGTTTTGGAAATGGCAAAAAGATTTTTTGACAATTTCACTCAAAGTATCTTCATACTCTGCACAGATGGTGCTCCTATGATGCTTGAATAACATTTGGTTTTACTACTTCAAGGAAAAAGAAAGCTCAACTTATCTTCATACACAGATATGCCGGAAGTCTTCCAGTATCTTCATAAGAAGTTCATTCCTCAGCCTTAAACTACGAAATCCATCAGAACTGGCCATGATCCCTTGGTTACAAACAACTGAAAATGAATCTGAAGCTTTAGTGAAAAAGATATCCATATGAAGGGATTGGTCATGGTAAGGCAGGAGAAGCAGGCTCAGGCTGTATTGAAGGGAGAAGTCAGTCAAACTTCTGTTGCAGAAATGGCCAATCAACAAGTGCCATTAGGTTTTTGACTCACTTGGCAGTAGCCATTAGAAATAACCCCTAGCTGACCCTCTGGTGTTGTCTTGCTCCTTCAAGAATATCTGTTATCATTAGAGCAGCTGACTATACTAACACTGCCAAGTTACAGAGAGAGAGAATAATTAATTGCTTTCCTGATAAGGTAAAAGGATTTTCTAAAATGCACAGCTGATCAATGGTAGCATAGTAGAACAAAGAATTCTAAGCTCTTCCCTACTAAAATTTTACAGTGATCTTTTATTATGATGTTGCTTGAAATTTTGGATTGATTTATACTTTACTAATCTGCGTAGGTCTATCAAGAATGACTGCAGTTAGAACGTGTCCTCTGTGCACGTGTGTTTGTGTGTGTCCATGATAAATTTGTAAAAGAAGTAGTATTGGTCACACAACAATTCTGTTGGCCTTACCAGTAAGCAAGAGCCAGTGCTGATTTTAGTCATGCCTTCATCTATCACAATGAGCATAAGCATGTGTTTTATTTTGAACTACAGCATATTTTTTTTCTTCTTTCCAGGCCAGTGAAATCATCCTCCTGAGGGAAAAAGCAAAACAAACTTTTGGGAAGAAGGTTCTGGAGACTGTAATTAGCTACAGAAAGAATCAGCAGAGACAGATTGGTACTTCAGTCAAAGAACAAATTCAATTTTAAAGCATTTTGAGGGCTCTTGTGTACCAAAGTCATCGCTGAATAACTTGTACATAATACTTCATTCCAGGACAGTAGAGTAAGGTCCTCAGAGTTTTGAGGGAGAAAAAAAATATGGTCTAAGAATTATAAATGTACAATTAGATTACAAAATGTAAGCTCTCTAATGACTGTGCTATTGGTTAAAAGATGGTGAGCAAGTAGGGTAAAAGGGAAACATCAAGAGGGGAAATGTGAGAAATGTATCATATGAGGGCTGGGACAAGAGATAGTTTGCAACATGCACTGAGGGATTCTGAGGCTTGATAGCTCCCATTCCTGCATGATTTCCTGAGATCCTGGAGAAACAAGGGGGCATCTTAGCTACCACTGCTGCTTTCCAGATGCAACTGTGGGTTCAACTGTGGTGAGTAATGAATGGTCAACTGGAGTGGTAGGGCTAGGAATTCAAGGTCTAATCGGTGGTGTGGTGAAGTCCTACATTCCAAAGGAGGACCAGCTAGAGGATCAGGTGCATGGCATAGGAGGAAATGCCTCCTTGTGGTGGCTCTGTCAGACGGATCTCTGCTATGGAATCAAGATCAAAGAAACCTCTGGATTGAAGTTAAGAGCAATATGACGTCCACCACATTTTTCACAACTTGTTCATGTCAAAATATTCCTCTATTTATGAGAAGCAGAAAAATTCTGAAAACAATAGCCTGGCTCTAGTCTTGTGGGGAGAAAAGAGAACTTGTTCTTGGTGGGACCTGCTTGAAACCACAGAGAATTTCTTGCCATTTACTTGCTACTTGATCTCTCAATGCTATGAGCAGTTATATACATGGGATAAAATAGTATCGGGCCATTGTAAATGGAGATGAAGTAGTAACAGTGTCATCTCTCCTATGTGGTCTGCACATTGAAAAAACACCGATAATCTAATGGATGAATGTGAAGAAGATTTGGAGAATCCTCATGCCAGGAGCTTTATTTGCCTTCCCCCCTCCTCTCCATTATTTAGATCTCTCTTTTTTTGTCTCCATGGTTTTGCTATTTCACAATGATACACTTTAATGTGAGTATACTTTCAACCACTGTTCTGGTTACTAAGCGAACCCTTTCAATTTGGAAATTCGCATACTTTAATTCTAGGAAATTTTTAAAAATAATTTATCTGATTGCATCTTCTATTTTGTTTTATCTATTCTCCCCGGAACTGTTCTGGTTCAGATGCTGAGACCTCTTACAGTAATCCCCTAATTCTCTTATGCTTTCATGTTTTCTCTGTTTTGCATCTCTTTTTCTTCTACTTCTTGATATAATTATTTCAATCTATTTCCTAATCCTTTTTAAGGTTTTTCTTTTCTGCTGTCACATTTCTTTTAAACATCAAAGAGATAGTTATATTTTCTATGTATCTATCATCTATCTATCTACTGATCTGTCAACCTGTCTATGGTATCCTGTATTTGTTTCACAGATGCAATGGCATTTCTTCCCTCTTGGAAGTTATTAGTAATTATTTTAAAATTCCCTTATCTTTAAATGATAATAGTCCTTCCAAGTTGCTTTTTTTTATTGTTTGTGCTTGTCTCTAACATTCTTATTAGAAGCCTAGGAGTAAAATTGTAAATACTTTTAAAAAGCATCACAGAGCTTTATTGCATGGCAGACTTGTGCACTTCGCTGTAGAGTAACCTGGCTGAAATTTTCTTTGTGGGACAGTGTTATCACTTGTTTTAGACTTCTATTTTGTTCTTGTTTACTCTTTATCTTCTTTTGGCTACCTGGTTAGATTTCCTATAGAAAAATCTTTGAACATCTGTTTTGAGAACCAAGTTGGGGAAGAAAGCTGGAGGTCTCAGCTTTGAGTAATAGGTTTTGCCCAATACCCCCATTCAGTTGGTACCGCCTCACTTCCCCAGTGTGTTCTCTTCAGAGAATAAATCTTGGGCCACAGAAGGCTATAAATGATTATTACACTCTGAAACATTTGTTCTGTTTCTGGATACCACTCATACTTCAGAGCATCTTGCTGGCCTTAGATTTGGAGAATTCTGCAGTGCACAGTGTATTTGCTCTCCAATAGCTCCTGCCAACTTGACATTCAACTTCGTGAGTTCTAACTAGTCAATCACTGCTTCTGCTGCTGACATGCAGTTTCCCAGATATCATTTTAATGACCTTACCTGTTCTCCTGTGCAAGTTTATATTTTTATCATAAATAAAATTCCCTTTCTGTCATCCTCTATTTTTGGAAGGGGGAGAAACAAAGCTTCAACTTCAGTCTTCCATCTTCAACCAGAATCCCCATCATCAATTTCTATATATAGAATTTTTTTTCTGTTCTTGCTTTATTTTTCTTTAACCAAATTAAGACTTGTTTTCACAATGCTGCAGGACAAAGGGAATTTTTGCATGACATTTTTGTCCAGTTAACAATAATATGCTTTTTTCTTTTGTTTCAAAAGTTTATTTACTCTTTTAAGGCATTGCTACATTTTTTAGCTGCTACAATCTCAATTCAAGAATGCATTTTCAAAACTTGGGCAAAATTACAAATTATTTCAACTCTTAGGATTCTAACTCTGCATGATTTGAAAGCTATGCCACCTTCTCCCAGTATATTGTCTTATTTTGGAAAAATTAGCTCATCTATGACTAAAGCACCAAAAATGTAAGTGGTTCTGAAAAGTGATGATGATGTTGAAAAGAAGTGTACCTGTCAGAGAATCTCTGTATAGTGCAGGCTTTTTTGTTAGTGGGAAGAATTTCTACTTTAATGGACCAAGGAGCCTCTTCTGGGTCTCCCAAGCAGGTGCAGGGGCCCAAGGACTTGGGCCATCTGCCACTGCTTTCCGAGGCCATAGCAGAGAGCTGGATCAGAAGTGGGTCAGCCAGGTCTCGAACCGGCACCCATATGGGATGCTGGCACTGCAGGCAGTGGCTTAACCTGCTATGTCACAGTGCCGGCCCCTCTCTAATAATTTTATGCATATTTCCACAGTGCCATTTGTATCTAGTGTTTAAAATAAGACTAATGTAAAAAGAACGCACAGATTCTTTTAACAAAATGTACCAAATTTGCCCTAACATCAATAAATCAGCACAGTTTATTATCTCTCTTTTACAGCTACTCCTGTTTTTATGGAATACCACTTTCACATAGAAATTATATGAGCAAAGATTTCCTAAGAAGAACATCAGTATTGACAAATTCAAAGCACACTTTTCTAGTCTTGAAACCTTTTTGATCCAGGAGGCAGATAATTGACCATGGAGCTGAATGCATAATAATTAGATAATGAGGGGAAACATTTTGAGATTTTTTTGGCTAATGGAACAAGTTTCATTCTGTTGAACTCAGCTTCAACTGAATTATTTTAATTCATAGGAATGATTGATCCCACATCTCTTAGAATCCAGAGTTAAAAAGATTGATTAGGAGCCATTCTCTTTAAGAAAGAACTGTGAGCCCATAGTTTGAGCTATACTTTCTGTTCTGAGCATATTGCATCAGAAGATACTGGTAAGAAACAGAAAATCAAAAGACTGACCAAAGCACAAATCAGACCACCTCAAGTGATTTCTCCCTCTCATGTAAGGTGGTTACGAAAGTGCTGCCCCCACTTCTTGGGCTTGGAGTTTGCAGGAAGCAATGTGGACAAGAGATGTGAGCAGACAGACACATCTTTCAATCAGGAATGGCTAATTGTGGTGGCAAGGTCAGCAGAACCCCCAAGATATTTCCCAACACACAATATTGTAGTTTAGAGCTAGATTACTGGAGAAACAAAATGTAGTGCCACAGAACTTCCCATTCAGTGATTGAAGACAAGTCAAGTAAGAAGCAAATGAACAGGTAAAACCTAACTCGTATAATGAGAAATACGTAACAAGCTTTTGAGACAGACACGTACTTGGAGGAATGGTAGTGGATTCTCCTTTGGGACGCTGAACAGTAGAGAAATCTTCACTGAACTTACTCTTCCCATTTCCCTTTCTCATTTTATTATAAATATTTAAATACTACACACTAGATATAAAAAATAGGACAGGCTCTACAACATTTGTGATTCTGCTTGGCAATCATAATTACTACAGCAGTTTAGCTTTAATTCTAAACTCCAAGCATTAAATTCCCCCAAAGCATCTTCTTTTATCATAGCGTTTACATTTCTGAGTTCTTAGTTTCGAATCATGTATTGGTTGGGCTAGATTTTGCCTTCCTGTGATCTTTTTTTGAAGGACAATTTATATGGACTTCTCATATTCTTGCTTGCCTGAGAAGGCTAGTTTGTTGAATAACAACTAAGCGAGGTATAATCTTCTAGACCCATACCCATAGCTTGTTGAATAACAAGGTATAAGCTTCTAGATCTATACGTTCTCTGCCTCCTAACTTTCTAGTTGCTCCAATGTTGTCTGTCATTACGTGTCTTCTGTAACTCTGTAGAAGGCCAACTTCATTTTTTCATTTCGTAAATGTGACATACCCTTTTACAATGATGTTTAAAAGATGCTTCCAGGGCCAGGTATCCAGCATAGTGATTAAGAGGCTACTTGAGGAACAGACATCTGACCTAACAATGAAGCCACTGTTCATATGCCTGTGCTGTGGCCCACATTAGAGTGGCTGGGTTTGAGTCTCTACTCTAGATTCCAGCTTCCTGCCAGTGGAGACCTGGGGAGCAGCAGACAGTAACTCCAGTAAAAAAGGTGACAAGTCTAGGCTGTGTTTCCAGCTCCTGGCTTCATCTGAGTCCCTCTCCCTGCCCCTAGTTCTTCCTTTCAAATAAGTAAAATAACATAAAAAATGCATCTAGCGAGAACACATGAGAAAATATTTTAAAAATACATAAAAGATTTTCTCATCATCCTTGAGGTTCAGAAATGAGTCCAGGATATGGATCAGTATGGTACCATTCTGTTTGCATTTTTCCTGGGGGACTGCATAACCTTTCAGTAATGAGATTTGGGCAAAGCTTAGTTTAGGCAATTTTTAATCTTTTCAATCTTACTGTGTCCTGAACTTCAAATTCTTATTCAATTTTGCTCCATAAAATTTCCATAATATTTTATTTTTCTTTTCCATTTCCTCTCTTAATGCTGCCAGCTCACACTTTTATTGCCTTTTGTGGGCTTATCAGATCTCTTCTAATCAGTTAGATCTCTCATTTTCATTCTTGTTTCAACAAAACCAGGCTTTAATTCCTATGAAATCACGAATTCCTTTTAGAACTCTGTTCCATTGTGTGGCCAAATTTATCTTCTTCTTTGCATTCATTTTTTTGCTTTTTGCTTTTAATTCATGTTCTCCTTTTCTAATAGTTTATGTGCAAAAATCCATTACTCAGTTTGTCTTCTCTCATTGTAATGAAATTGTAATATTGAAGAAGGGAAGAGGCCAGGAGCTTTTATAGTGTGCACTTTATAAAATTGCTAATATTAAAGTGTGAGTTTTGATGAGCTTGAATGTAAGTATACAACCACAGTATTATTAATATGATTCAGGAAATCAACACATGCCTCATCTGTGAAAATGTCCTTGTGATGTTCTCTGTATTTTTTAGTTTTAGTTTTTGTGGCAAGAGCACTTAATCTGAGATCTGTCCTCTTAACATATTTCAAAGAGTAAAATACTGTTTTGTTAACTGTAGGAACTACATTGTAGAGTAGGTCTCTAGAATTTGTTCATCTGTACATATGAAATTTTATAAACATTGAACAACAATTCACCACTCCCCCGCCAACCCTAGGCAACCATCATTCTATCCTCCGCTTCTGTAAATTTAACTATTTTAGATGTCACATAAATGTAATCAGGCAGTATTTTCCTTTTATAATTGGCTTATTTCACTTAACATAACGTTCTCTAGGTTCAACCATGTTGTCATAAACTGAAGGATTTTCTTCTTTTTC